TAATAATCCAAACATTAAAGATTAACAAAATTGTAAAACAATGCCACTCTTTCCATTAATTTTATTTTTGTTTTGTAAATATTGTTTATGTTAACATGTAATGGGCTTATCGTTATATTTAAATGAACTCATACGTGAACATAGTATTTTTAAATTTCTCAAGTTCATTTTCTTTTTTTTTTTTTTTTTTCCTTTTTGTCTTTTTTCATGACCGGTAACGGGATCGCAACCCTCAGTGTCGCGCCCGCATTGCGCTCAACCAGTGAGCGGACCGGTCTCTATATGGGATCCGAACCCTCGGCGGGAGCGTCGCCACACTCCCAAGCGCCGCACTCTACCGAGTGCGCCACCGGTCCGGCCCTCAAGTTCATTTTCTAACAGAGCAAATATTGACAGATAAAACCCACATAAACAAAAGCTCTTGGGATGCTCCGTGTTGGGGAAGCTGCTGTCATTCTACCATCACTGACCTCTTCCAGAGGTCCCTCAGAAGGAGCAGCTGCCCCCACTAAGGGTTGGCCAACCACTCCGAGCAAGGGACCCTGTGGGCTACAGGCTGCAGCTGCTCCACAAACCACTACTGGTTCATGATAAGCTAAGTACAGAAATTGAGACTCAGCCTTTAGAAATATTTACAGCAATCTTCCACTGCCACAACCACCAACATATATGATCCATGTTCTTATACTGGTGTACATCCTTGGCTTTGTTTCATCTCATTTTTCTGTTTATTCATTTTTACTGTATCTCGCACAGTGGTAGTCTGCAGCAGTTTGAAAATGTTTAAAAGTGGTCCTTCACCATGAATACAAAAAGCAGCACTGAACTACATGTCTTTTAATTAAATAGCAATTAGGGTGATCCCTAAAGGAAAATGTTATGAGTAGAAACTATTTCTCCCTCATTAATGACACTCAAGACAGCTTCCCCTACATATACCACCTCTAATACGAATATCAACACAATCCCCCTTAAAATGGAAATCAGCAATGATTAATAAAACCATACATACCCTCTTCAGTGAAGAATTTTTCCACGGGTCCCACAAACTGATTGATTTCATTAAGTTCTTCCTGGCTAACTTCTGGAAATGGGAAAACTTCTTTCTAAAAATGATAAACATTTACTAAAAATTTAATTTGCAGCAATCCCCCAGGATAGAAATACCAGGTAAAAGAAAAGGAAAAAGATGTGCTAGATTCCACATCTGGCCAGCAGGACATCACTCACTGGTGGAATCAGAAACCAAACCTCAGGGGAATACTTATTCTATTCTATAGAATAAGATGTTGACTGATTCTAGAATTGCAATAAAGCTAATTGACAGCTTTTAAAAAAACAAAACAAAACCCCCCCCCATAAAACAAAGCAAGCAAGCAAGCAAACCTCAGCAGGTGCTTCTGACATAGGAACTGTGTGTTAGAATCCATGACCTAGGTTCGTCTTCGTCCCCAGCTCAGCAAGTCCGTTCCTGATTTTGCTCAGCTTTCCTTGTCAATGACAAGCAATGACGACTGTCCCACAAAACAAGCAGCCCTGGACTGACATTTAGAAGCCCTGGGTCTGGTGCTTCATTTCCTCTCACTAATTGTGTGGCCTTCGCCACCCCAAGCTTCCACTTTCTCACCCATCACATGGAGGTCACCCCTCACTTTCATGACTGTCAGCGACAGGCCTGAGTGATGTGGGTTCTAGATCCAGTAGAGAGTGAACAACTGATGGCGTTGAGGAGAAAGGAGAGAACTACCCCTGAACAGGCCTTGGGTCCAAGGACGCAGTTGGCTTTTGCTAGGAGTAGACAGTTCATCCACAGCAACAGAGAATGTAGATGATCTGGGCATGCATGGGGGGAGGAGAGTAGATGTGGCGGTGGAAGTTCTCCTCTGACTGCAAGGATTTTCTCAGTGAAATGGGAAGCAAAGCTGAGAGTGAGGGCAGGGCAGGTGGTACCAGAAATTTAGGTTGAAAACAGTATGAAAGATTTGAGCTCTTTCTTCACCACACTGCTAGGAGGCATGAGGTCCCAGGATAGAGCACCACACAGCCCCAGGTTCCGGCAAAAATGGTTTCCCACACTCTAAGACCTAGCTCTGCACTTCCTAGCAGGGCAAACCACTCTTACTCTGAGTCTCAGCTTCTGCATCTGTAACGCTGCTTAAAGGGTCAGATGACAACCTAAAAGGAGTGTTCTAAAGAGAAGCCAGGGAATAACTCCTTGTGTGATATAGAATCAGCCAACATTTCTGCGAAGTTCAAAGCACAGAACCTCTAGGAGGAGGTGAGTACAGGGAGGTGAAGTGATTACCCAAGGTCACAAGGCTAGGAAGTGTTCTACTGCATAGTATTTTAGTTTAAGAAGAATTCGCGCACACTATGTATCTCATTGGGGCTCTACATCACTAGCTCCATATTAAAGCTGAAAAAACTGAGAGTCAAAGTCACAGAGCCATGGTCAAATCCAAGTCTTCCAACTGAAAGAAGGTGATGAGTGCTTAACAGTCAATCTGTTGCTACTGGCTGTAAGACGCCCAGAGGAATGAGGTGGGGAAGGCACCTTGGAGCCAGATTCCTGAGGAGCCTGAATGGCAGGGCGAGGCGCTAGGGCTCAGCTGCGGAAAGAAGGCGACAGAAGAGCGGCACGGTGTGAGTTGCGTTTAGGAATCACAGAGGAAGCCCCGTACATTTCGGGGCCAGGACCGCTGCGGGTTGCTTAGGGATCACCTCGCATAGGCTTTCCTAAACTGCCCTGACAAGAATGACCTGCAACACCACATTTCCCAGGGCCCCGTGCCCTGGAAAGGCTCCAGTGGGACTCAGGAATCTGCAGTTTTAGCATGCACCAGACCTCGGGAGTTTGGGGCCTCTGACAAAGCTTGACCTCGGCCTTAACGGCTAAGGGCGAAAAGCCGGAGGCAGAAAGCAAGGGGGTCAGCGCAGGGCTCGCGTTACCTTCTCTATTTTGCCCAGGAAGAGCTCCTTGGCGAAAGCTCGGCTCCGCGGACTGGTGCGCAGCGGGCGCCGGCTCGCGGGAAAAGCCACCAGGGACCGGAGGGCACGCGCCCCCACCGCCATGCGCAGGAAGAGTCCGACGCCGTTCATGCTGCCGGAGCTGCTCAAGAGACGGCCACCACCTCCGACTCGGCGCCTCAGTGCGCCTGCTCGACGCCTCCAGATGACACCACCGGCCGACACCGTCCGCCGGCCCCATTGCGCTTGCGCGGCCTCCGGCCCTGCCAAAGCCGGACTAATGGGGTAGCCGCCCCCACCTCCTGCTCGGCGTTTAACAGTGCGCGCCGCCTGATGACGCCACGGGCCTTTACCGACCCCATGGCGCTCGCGAGGCCTCCCGCTCGGGAGGTTGGTGGGAATGGCCCGCTGATGTTTTGGGTTATTGGGGACGTAAAGCGGCGACCCGGCTGCCTCCACTCGGCTCCCTCCTGACACATGCAACAACGAGAAAGTGAGAAAACTAAAGAAAAGCAAAGGAATGGGGGGAAATTCACGGTGTTCGTTATCTCCGGAGGGCAGCTCACAGTAATGTTCCATTTAGTAAATGGACCGTGGGTCTCGTAGCTTACATGCAGCCGGCCCCATGGCGCTTGCGCGGCCTCCGGCCCTGCCAAAGCCGGACTAATGGGGTAGCCGCCCCCACCTCCTGCTCGGCGTTTAACAGTGCGCGCCGCCTGATGACGCCACGGGCCTTTACCGACCCCATGGCGCTCGCGAGGCCTCCCGCTCGGGAGGTTGGTGGGAATGGCCCGCTGATGTTTTGGGTTATTGGGGACGTAAAGCGGCGACCCGGCTGCCTCCACTCGGCTCCCTCCTGACACATGCAACAACGAGAAAGTGAGAAAACTAAAGAAAAGCAAAGGAATGGGGGGAAATTCACGGTGTTCGTTATCTCCGGAGGGCAGCTCACAGTAATGTTCCATTTAGTAAATGGACCGTGGGTCTCGTAGCTTACATGCACATTACATATTTTTTTTTTGGAAGAGGAAAAGAAAAGGGATGTTCTACCAGGGAGAGGGCTGGATAAAACTCTATCACCGCTATTTCTGGGAAACACAACATTAGAAGGCAGGTGGAGGAAGATAAGCTGCTCAGGGAGCTGAGGTGTGGGGACTGTTGGGTGGGATGAGTCGGGAGAGGCCCGGGTAGGAGGGCCCTGCATCCCCTGCCACCCCAGCCATGCCCTGAACGTAACAGGTCGGGGTTCTCTAACGATCTTCAGCCAGCCTCCTCCAGGAAGAATGCTCTCCTATCCTTACCCTCTCGTTGTCTTTTTACCCTGTGTATAGCATTTACCGCAGCGTTGGAAAATGTTCCCTGCCTCCATCGTGTGAACACCTTGAAAACAATAAGAGATCGCATTCATCTCAGCATGCTAAGCCTAGCCCTATAAAGAGTTGAATTGCTGACACAACATTAGGAAAAAAAGAGGTCAAAAGCTTTCTTGGTTGCAAAATATTTGCAAGCATCTTCTGCAGTTCATGCTATCTATTTTAATCTTGTCCTCACTATTAAAGATTTGTCACCTGGTTTCTTCATCAGTGTTTAATATGTGCCTATTTCAGCACTCAGCTTCGCAAGAAGGCATTTGGAAATAACTGCCTTTGTGAATTAACCCCACCGGTGAAACAAAGAAAAAGTGGTGTTGCAAAATCAATGTTTCTAGTTTGAGCTGCTGTACATTGTTGCTGAAACAAATGTAGTCACATCAGTCAAGTAATCTGATAACATGTCAGATCCTGTTTGGTGTACAGAGGTCTCCCTAAATCAAGCAAGTGAGAAATCCAGTGGCACATATTTCCAAAACAAAAATTAGGAAAAGTTTAAGGCATAATTTCAAAGTACTCCAACAGAGTATAGTGGAAAAAGAGTTTTGGAGTTCCACTACTTTGCCAGTTTCTAAATTCAGTTTTCTCATCTGTAATCATGAGTACAATGTCATTTATCTCATGGGACTTTTTTGAGTATTATGTAAAATAATCCATATGAAAGCATCTAGCACAGTAAATGGTCAATGCTTTTTCTGCAATACTATAAAAATGAAAAATATTTACATTCAAGTGAGAGAAATACGCTGTTTTAAACAGTTTGCTTTTTTTAAACAGTTTGCTTTAAACATAGTTTCGCATATTTAGTGTTTAAAGCATCCTCACAGTATTTCTGAATGTCCTTCCTGTATGATCACATCAAATACAACGGACTCCCACAATAATTTAACAAATAGATTAATTTTCTTCCTTGACCATAATATTAGGATACCAGAATGGCTTGACTTTGTGTCTCAGGCACATTGACTGAGTAGAAAACTACTCCTTGATCACTAACTGTTAAAGCTGAGATGGAGACTGGAGTAATGCTTCCACAAGCCAAGGGATGCCAGAGACTGCCAGCACACCACCACCAGAAGGTAGGGAGAGGCATGGAACAGATCTCACATCCCTCAGAAGGAATCAGTTCTGCTGACATCTTGATCTTGACTTCTAGCTTCCAGACCTGTGAGACAAGAAACTTGTTGAAGCCACCCAGTTTGTGGTACTTTGTTACAGCAGTGCTAGCAAACTAATACACGAGATCTTAAAGATATTATGATTCTTGGCACATAGTGTTTTCAGAGATAAACAGGGCCTGATAGTGACCACAAAATTAGAGCTGTCTTCGAACCCATAAACTCACTGCTCTTGCTATGGTTTGGATTCAATAGTCTTCCTGATGATGGAACCCTGGCACAGTTAAACATTTTGGGAAAGCCCCTTAGACATGACAGCACAGACTGCAGCATAAATAGGAGAGAAGCAAGACAGAGGAATGAGGCCAGGGCTAGGAGTCATGAGAAGAGAGATTTAGTCCCAATTCTGCCACCTGTCAGCTGTGTGGCAGAGGTGGGCCAGTGCCCTCACCTCTGAGCCTCAACTTTATTTTCTGTGACTTGGAGGCAGTGCTAGTAGCCAATGAATCCATGTCACCACTTCCATAGTGTGTAGTTGTTAGCACAACAAGCTATCAGACAGGAATTGCCTTCCCAGATCCCTGCATCCGGATGCTGTTCTCACCAATGGAATGTGAGAAGTAATACATGACTTCTGTCCAGTTCTTAAAAGTTGAGGATCATTCTTTGATGCTTCTTCTTCCACCACCTGGAAGCAGAGGATCCCTCGGGGGTGGAAGCACAAGGTGGAAGGAGTCTAGGTGATTGCATCAATCATCTGGAGGAAAATCAGCTTCCAAATAGGGACACCCACGTTGAACTGTTACATGAGCAAGAAATATGTATTAAGTCACTGACATTTTGGGGTTTAATTGTTCCAGCAGCCAGTGTTAACTAATAAAAAACCATCAAGTTTCCCTCAAACAGCTGAAGATAGATCTACCATACGATCCAGCTATCCCACTACTGGGAATATACCCAAAGGAATGGAAATCATCAAGTCGAAGGTATACCTGTTTCCCAATGTTCATTGCAGCACTCTTCACAATAGCCAAGAGCTGGAATCAACCCAAATGTCCATCATCGGATGAGTGGATACGGAAAATGTGGTATATCTACACAATGGAATACTACTCAGCTATAAAAACAAATGAAATACTGCCATTTGCAACAACATGGATGGACCTTGAAAGAATAATACTGAGTGAAACAAGTCAGGCAGAGAAAAAGAAATACCACATGTTCTCACTTATTGGTGGGAGCTAAAAAAAAATAAAAACAAAAAACAAATCAATTCACTCACATACACACACAC